GATGCCAGCAAGCGCGCGCACGGGGCGGCCCCTGGGCGAAAGCCTGGAAGTGCCAGCCAGTCTCCTCGGCTGAAGCAGTGGCGAAGCGTCCTGGCTCGCCTATAGGCCCACCAAGGAGGGTTCTCAGAACCCTTCGTGGCCCGCACGAACTGTTCTCAGAACATTTCTGGCTGGGACTGTCGTGTTTTAATATACCGGGATTATGTTCCAAGCACACTGTTTTTGTTATTCGAACATTTGGGGGTTCTAAGAACATTTCGTGGTAGGACTATAGGAATGCGGGGACGGTCGGTCCCTGCTCAACTATTGTTTCCAAGGCGAGGTGAGTGGCCCGCGTTTGGCCGCCTATCGGTCGCGAGGCCCTGGGTTCCATATCGAAGGCATCCTTATCTAAAGCCTCCACCGTGACTATTACTGCAAGCATTGTTTGGGGAACTGTGTTAGAAGTCACAGTTCGGTTCGGAGACGGTTGCGATGCTCCTGGGGTCCTCCCATGGGTATCTATCTGGCGTTCCTCGTGCTTCTGGGCGCGGCGGGGTGCTGAGAAGTGGCCTCGGTCCTGGCGATAATCAGCCGCACGGCGGTGCCGACGACGACGACGACGATGCCGACGCCGACGCCGACACTGACGACGACGACGACGACGACGACGACGACGACGACGACGACGACCACGACGACCACGACGACCACGACGACCACGACGACCACGACTACGACCACGACCAGGACCACGACCACGACAACGACCGCGACAATGGCGGCGGTGGCAGGGAAGGGCCCTGGGAGGACTGGCGCAGAGGAGCCGGAGAAAGGGGCCCCCAGGAGACGGGCCCCGGAGCCCCGGGGCTCCGGCCCCGAGACCAGCGCTGCGGCCCTGGGCCGTCTGGCGGGCAGTCCTGGGGGCCGTGGAGAAAGCACACAGAACAACAAGGTGTGGAAAAAAACACACTGTGGAAAAACAGTGTGAAAATCACACTGTGAACAAGTGAAATCACACTGTGAACAAATTATCCCGGCAAAGCAACCTAACAGCGATGTGTAGAAGCATAGCTGGAAACATTGCCTGTGGTATTCATGTAAGAGTGCTGTTGTAGAATTCTGGTGTTCTCGCAGTCGCATTCGGATTCGCAGTGGCAGTCGCAGTGGCAACATCAGCGGCGGTCGCAGTGGTCCTCGGTTTCCGTCTGCTGATCAGCACAGCCCAGGGCCCGCAGTTCATGCAAAATGTCTTTGGGGATGCGGTCGCGATGGTCCGAGAAACGCTTGGCCAACTTGTTTTCGGCCCGTTCTTGTTCGGACGTTCCTTTATTTCGCTTCGGTATCCGGCCGAACTGCTTCACGTGCTCGACGAGCGTTTGCAGATGACCGCTCAATGCAGCACGCTGAGGAGCAGCGCTGTTCCCTGCCGCAGGCTGAGGAGCACCGCTGTTCAATGCAGCAGGGTCAGGAGCACCGCCGCCAGACCGAGAACTATCAGCATGTCCTGGCATTAAGGTGTGCAGTAGGCGCTGCGCAGTTCCTTTGAAAGGAAATCTTCGAAAGCAGGGCTGTAGCCAAGAAGGCTACGGGGACGATGATGATGATGAAGATGATGAGTCTTGGAAGTCTGGGAAGTGGAAGAGCACGAAGTGGCGTACAGTTGGCTCCGGGCATTCAAAATGTGGCCCGGGAGTGGAGTTCTGGGAAGTGGAAGAGCACGAAGTGGCTTACAGTTGGCTCCGGGCATTCAAAATGTGGCCCGGGAATGGTGTTTTGGGAAGTCCAAGAGCACGAACTGGCTTACAGTTGGCTCCGGGCATCCAAAATGTGGCCCGGGAATTGAGTTTTGGGAGTCGAAGGGCACGAAGTGACTTACAGTTGGCTCCGGGCATCCAAAATGTGGCCCGGGAGTGGAGTTCTGGGAAGTCGAAGAGCACGAAGTGACCTACAGTTGGCTCCGGGCATCCAAAATGTGGCCCGGGAATGGAGTTCTGGGAGGTCGAAGAGCACGAAGTGTGTGACTGTTTGCTTAAAACGAGCCCGGCCCTCGCTTGTCCGGCTCCCGCCCAGACCCCATCTGGGGAGTCATCAGATATTTGTTTTGACCCCATTAGAAACCTATCAGTCTTCGCTGTTAGGTAAAAACACTGTGGACAAACACACCGTGGAAAACACACAGTGAAAACATACTGTGGAAACACATTGCAAAACACACGGCATGCAAAAACACATTGAAACACACACTGCAGAAAAACACACAAGACAACACTGTGTGTTTCTATGGTTTTGATGCTTTTTCTCACAGGCACTCCTTTCCAGCAGGGTCTGCTTTTTTTCCTCGAAGAAGAAAAAACCGTCATGAACATAAGCTTGTGGCTCTCCGCGCGGAGTTCCTGGATCCGCGCTGGGCCCTCCTAGCGGCGCCTCTAGCGCCGCCCCTCGCGGGTTCCGCGCGCCAGGGAGGGGGCCCAGCGCAGATCCAAGAAATTCGCGCGGAACGCCAACAGTTTATGTTTATGTCGGTTTTCTCGCTCTGGGATGGGATAGTGCCATGTCGCCGGGGCCGCCGTGGCGACACGCCATCCTTCAACTTGACGAAAGAGTGACTTTTCGCCGGAGTGACATCTTGTGCGGGCCCAGTGGGGCCCTCCGATCGCCGAACGCGGTGCGATAGTAGAGTCTTGTGCGCCTGTGGTTGGTCCCCCCGCGGTCCTTGAAAACCCGCGCACCAGAGGCCACTCTTGACCAGGGTCCCTCTTGCACGTGGTCGAAACCCAAAGTTCCCGACACTCACTCCGATATGGCGCTGCAAGAAAATTCGACGTCGCGAAGCAAAACCATGACCAGAGCCCCAGGCCCCATCTTTCTCCAGACATGCGACGTCCTGATTTTTCCGGGACGGCGTCCCTGGAAGTCCCGACCCTTTCCCCAGGTTCGGCTTGTCATCCTGAGTAGCTGTTTGACGCTCCCGAGGCCCGGCGAGGGCCACCCGGGGCCGAAAACTACAAAAAAAATCCCGTCCTCATCTTGCAACGGCGCAATCAGGTCTGGGTCTGCGTCATTGTTCGAGCCGGATCGATCTGTGAGGGCCCCGGGGCCCGACACTGGGCGAAAACGCGCCCGTTGTTTTATATTTATAGTTATACATACCTATATATATACATATACATACATATATATATATATATATATATATATATATATATATATATATATATATATATATATATATATATATATATATATTATATATATATATATATACATATATAATATATATATATATGTATATCGGAGGTGAGGGGGTGAGATCGAAGTGGAACGGAGAGCCCCCCTACCGGGAAATCGATTTCGGTTTCGTGTTCGTGCGTGCCCGCGTGCGGGCGAGGCGAAGCTGCGTGGGCGGGCGAGAGAAAGTCTCCTGTGGCTGAGGCGCGGCCGGACCAAATGTCTCCCTTCCGGGCGGCCGGGGGCCCGCGGTGTCCCGCCGGTGTCCCGCTGGTGTCCCGTGTGGCTGAGGCGCGGCCGGACCAAATGACTCCCTTCCTGGCGACCGGGGGCCCGCGGTGTCCCGCCGGTGTCCCGCCGGTGTCCCGCCGGTGTCCCGTCGGTGCCCCGTCGGTGTCCCGATGATGACTATGATGATGATTATGATGATGATGGTGATGCTGATGATGGTGATGACGATGATAATGTTGATGATGGCGATGATGATGATGATGATGATAATGATGCTGATGATGATTTGGTTGATGTTGATGATGATGATGATGATGATGATGATGATGATGATGGTGATGATGATGATGATGATGACGTCGATTGTGATATCGATTGTGATATCGATAGTGAGACCGAATGTGAGATCGATTGTGAGATCGATTGTGAGATCGATTGTGAGATCGATAGTCAGATCGATTGTGAGATGATGATGGTGTAGATGGTGATGATGGTGATGATGGTGATGATGATGGTGGTGATGATGATGACGTTGATGATGTTGATGATGGTGTCCCGATGACGATGATGTTGACGATGATGTTGATGATGGTGATGATGATGATGTTGATGATGATGATGGTGTCCCGATGATGATGATGATGATGATGATGATGATGACGTTGATGATGATGATGTCGATGATGATGATGGTGCCCCGGTGGTGCTGATGATGATTATTGTGTTGATGATGATGATGTCGATGATTGTGTCCCGATGATGATGCTGATGCTTATGATGATGATGACGATGTTGAGGATGATGATGTTGATGATGATGATGGTGTCCCGATGATGATGGTGTTGATGATGATGATGTTGATGATGGTTATGGTGTCCCGATGATGACGACTATGATGGTGATGATGATGAGATCGATTGCGAGATCGATTGCGAGATCGATTGCGAGATCGATAGTGAGATCGACTGTGAGATCGATAATGAGATCGATTGTGAGATCGATAGTGAGACCGAATGGGAAACCGAATGTGAGATCGATTGTGAGATCGATTTTGAGATCGATAGTGAGATCGACAGTGAGACCGAATGTGAGACCGAATGTGAGATCGATTGTGGGATCGATTGTGAGATCGATAGTGAGATCGATAGCGAGATCGATAGTGATATCGATAGTGAGATCGAATGTGAGATCGATTGGGAGATCGATAGCGAGATCGATTGAGTGAGACGTTGGTTCCCCCTCCCCCCTCACCTCCTTATCACCCGCAGGGTGGTCGTATAGGTATATATATATATATGGAGGAGGAGGAGGAGGAGGCGGAGGCGGAGGCGGAGGAGGAGGAGAGAGGGGAGGATAGGATATATATATATATATATATATATATATAATAATATATATATACATACATACATACATACATACATACATACATACATACATACATACATACATGTGTGTAAATCTGTATATCTGTATATACGTATATATATATATACACATACGAAATGCGGCGCGGGGAACGGGGCGCGGGCGGCCCACCCCGCCCCGAGCGGCCCCAGGCGGTGCGGAAGATGCTGCCGGGGGGCCTCGAGCCCTGCGGCTGCTTCGCCGTGGCCGCCGAGGCCGCCGCGAAGGCGCCCTTCTCCTCCTCCTCCTCCTCCTCTCCTCCTCCTCCTCCTCCTCCTCCTCCTCCTCCTCCCCCTCCTCCCCCTCCCCTCCTCCCTCCTCCCTCCTCCCTCCCCCCTCCCTCCTCCCTCCTCCCCTCCTCTCCTCCTCCTCCTCCTCCTCCTCCTCCTCCTCCTCCTCCTCCTCCTCCTCCTCCTCCTCCTCCTCCTCCTCCTCCTCCTCCTCCTCCCCCTCCCTCCTCCCTCCTCCTCGTTGCCCCGCCCCCCCTCCGCTCGTCTAGGCCTCGCAGGGGCATCGAGAGGGGTCAGGAGGGAAAGAAACACACAGACACAACGAATTCGGGGGTGGGCACAACCCCCAACAGTGACACGTCGATTCGTGAATTGATCGTTTTCGGTTTTCGAGAGGGCGCCGTGGCCGTTATTTTCCAGGCTTGCGCCCACCAGGTTTGGGCCTCAGGTCGTTTTCACTAAACCACGTTTTGCTAAAGGGGGGTCTGTCCATCCCTGATGAATCGTCGATTCCCCCGAATTTATGGGAAAATATGGGAAGTGGGGGGGAAGACAGAAACCCAGAAGATATGGGAAAATATGGGATGTTTGTTTTTTGTGTGTATTTATTTGTGTGTCCTGGGGCCCCTTCAAGGGGGGATGCTCCCCAGACATGCGGTCCTGATTTTTCGGCGAGAACACAACGCAGTTTTGTTCGTTGTCACAAAAACGCGGACCTGGGAACCTTCTACCCCTGCCGCCCCGCCGCTGGCGCCGCGGTTCGCCGCGGTGCCTGTGGTGGGGCGGGTTGGGTCGGTTGGGGGGTGCGTTTGGGGTGGCTCGCCTCAGGTCTTCATGGACTTCGTGTTCCTCGTCTTGTTCGTGTTCTTTGTCCACGTCTCCCTGCGGTGGGGGGAGGGTAAATATACCCCCGCGTCGCGCGCGCTGCCCCGAGGGCGCTTGTCGGCCGAACGCGAGGCTGGCGCCCTCGGTGCGCGCGTCGCGGGCCGCCGTGGCGGGGCCCATTTGTCGAAAGGAGAGCTTGACGCTGGCGACGTGCAGAAGATAGAATTTATCAATTGTGCAATGAAGGACGGATTTCACATCGCGCCATCGCGCGGGATTGAGGAAGACGTTCGCTGCGCCATAGAGTGGGAAGCGTCCAGAGACAGCGTAGAGGTTATGCGTCTGCGCGACAATATGCTATCACGCCTGGAAGCGTGGGGACAAGCGTTACGACGTGACGGGGCCGTCGAGCAATGGTTCGCCGGCGCTGACGACGCGACGCGCGCCGTGTCCGCCGACGTGAATGGGCCGCTTTTAGCTGCTCTGCTCGACATGACGAGCTACGATGACACGGCCGCGGCTGATCTGTTCCGCTACGGCGCGCCTTTGCTCGGAAAGCTGCCCCATGCGGGCAGAGGGCCCGCAAAGAAATTCCCGGAGCCCACGTCGTCCGAGGAGTTGCTGACCTCCTCCCCCGTGCACAATAGAGCCATTTTGTCTTCCTTGCGAGAGGACGTGAACTCGTCTGCGATCCACGAGGGCGCGCTCGCCGATGCGTCTCTGTCGCGGATGACCGCTCCGGTTGTGCTGGCCAAGGCGGACTTGGGCAGGGTGCGTCTGTCCCCGCGTTTCTCCATTGTGCAGGGCGTCAAGCCGGATGGCGCGCCCAAGGTTCGCGTAGTAGACGATGAATCGAGAGGGGGCATCAACTCGGCGTGCCAGCCCGCCGAGAGGTTGTTGCTGGACGGGGCTGACGTTTTGGTGGACGCCCTGCGCTGCTATCACGGTCTGCGCGGGCACGCACCGGCACTGTTTAAGGCTGGCATCGACTCCGCTTACCGGCGTGTGCCTATCGCTCCTGAACACAGGCTCGGGATTTCCGGGTGCCCCCCCCCGTTAAAAGCATCGACCTGGGGGCTCGTGTCGGGGTTCCAGAGGAACCCGGCGTTTGCGGTGTCGATGTCGGCCTTGCCACAGGTGGGCAGCTTACAGCACGTATTTGCACGACGGAGACATTTGGGTCACTGGTCACCTGGCGTTGATGTTCGGCGCCCTGGCTGCCGTCTTTGGGTGGGACCGAGTCGGAGCTGCCTTGGCGCACCTCGCCCGCAAGCTCTTAAAGATTCCCACCCTCCGATACGTGGACGATTTCTTTGGGCCGTGCGCACCCGCAACTAAAGAGCATACCATGGCATCGCTGGCCAGACTAGTGCGCCTGCTCCTAGGTCCAGGAGCGGTTTCCGATAAGAAGCTGGAATGTGGCGACGAGCTGGAGATTTTGGGCCTGCATGTGTCCTTTTCTCTCAGCGGGATCAACTTGTTTCCCGCGCCCAAGAAGGTGCGCAAGTGGCTTTTCTTGATCAAGCAAGCGCTCGACTGCGGGACACTATGTGCCGGCCAAGCCAGCAAGCTGGCCGGCGCTCTCAGCTGGGCAGGTCAACATTGCTTCGAGCGGCTAGGGCGTGCGATGTTGCAGCCCCTGTTCGCGCAGCAGAATGCGCGACGGGGTGTCGTTCGCGCCCCGCTCAACTTGGCGCTGTCATGGTGGGCGGAGGTGCTGGCCCTCGGCATCCATCAGTCCAAGCCGTGGGCGCAGCTGGAACGGCAAGAAGTGCACTTGCTCGCTGACGCAAGGGGCGGGTCCGATCCACGGCTCGCCGCCGTGCTGTTCGTCGATGGTCGCGCCTTCTGGTCCGACGCCCCTCCAGACCAGGAGCTGCTGGAGGACTTGGCGCCGCGCCGGGACTCTCAGATTATGGCGTTAGAACTGCTCGCTATAGCGCTGGGATTAGCTACCTTTAGTGAACTGCTGGCGGACCGCCGAGTGGTGATTTGGTCCGACAATGTGGGCGCAGAAGGGGCAGTGCGGAGCGGTCGCGCTTCCGCTTGGGACCACTCCCGCATCATTCACGCCATGTGGTTCCTCATCGCACGCACCCGGTGTTCGCCGTGGTTTGCGCGGGTCCCATCAGCAGAGAACATCGCCGACCTTCCGTCGCGGGAGGAGTACGAGTTGCTACGTGTTCTTGGGGCGAACTTCGTGACGCCGCGCTTACGCGCGGCTGAGTTCTTCGCACCGGAGACGTTTCTGGCCCGCGCTCTGCCGGCGGGAGCGCGCCGTCGCGCGTCGTCGCGCCCCGCGAGCGCCGTTGCGCATCGAAGGCGGCACGAAGCAACGAAGGCGAGTGAGCCGCTGTCCCGCGTCGAGCCCGTTGCGAGCCATGCCTCGCGCGTGCCTTGCGAGGGCGGCCCGCGCGAGTTGATGCCAAAAGCCGACAGTGGAAGCTGCGTCGTTAACCGGCCCCATCGATGGGCGCCTGGTCGGTTGTCCTATGCGTCAGCGCGCGGTCCCAGCGCAGCCAGCGACGGGCGCTCAGTCGAGCGATAAGCCATGACGTTGTTTCATGAGGTCCGCGGCGTCCTGCCAGAGCTTTCACCCATGGTTACCTTTGCGTTGATCGAGTTGCTGCGGCGCCAGGACATAACGCATCACAGAGATCTGCAGCTAGCGCGCGTCGATTGGTTCGAACCGGTGTCTGCCGCAGAAGGGGAACGAGGCGTCAGCCCTGACGCCCTGCGCGTAGCGCTGTCAGAGTTAATTAACGAAGCGAAGAAGCCATCTGCCGTCGTGCGCGGCGCAAAGGACGAACCTCCGCCTGCACCCGACGTGCATCAGCGCGAGTGCCGCAGCCGCAGTCGCCCTGCCAGGCGGCGAGCTGCCAAGTGCGATGAGCTTTCGGCGGCTTGCGGTGCTGTGCGGGACCTTGAGCTGGCCGTCAGCATAGCGCGCCAGTGCACCATCGAGCCGCGCGCGGGCCCCCGCCGTGAAGTCGAGGCCCTGCGGCAGGGCCTCGCCCAGCGAAGCTTCAGCGAATGGTCGAATTCGGCTCGGGTCGCCGCGATTCTGGGCAGCTGCCCGAAAACGTGGCCCAGCGTAGTCAGCGCCTTCCGCTGCTGGGCGACTTTCGCCATGACCGTGCTCGGCTGCGACGCGGGGGAAGTGATTCCGCCGTCGCCCGAGGGCCTTGCATTGTGGAGCACATGCTTCCGTTGTAAAGGAACATTCGACAACTATATTTCGCACGTCAGATTAGTCTGCATACTGTTGCGCGTCCCGCTGGACGCGCTGAGCGACCCGGCAGTCGAGCGCGCGGCTCGCGCGGTGCAAGCGCGAAACACTTGGCAGGCCAGGCCCAAGATGTTTTTTCGGGAGGCGCTCCTCGCCAGATTACTGAAGCATCTCGAACGCCACCAATCGGGGCGCGAGCTGCAGATGCGTTTCTTGACGGCGTACATATTCCTGTTGCGATTGCCGTCGGAAGCACTGCCGATGCACGTCGCTCGGGACGGCGATCCGCCGCGGGCGGTCGAGCCGAAGAGCTGCCTGCGCCTGCATGACGGCTCGATCTCGCTGACGTTGCTTTGGCGCAAGAATCGCGCCACGCCGCTCACGATGACGCGCACGTGCTGGTGCGCGCGCTGTCCATCAACGGGCCCCGTGCACGCGCTGGGGAAATTCTGCGCCGACAGCGCGGCCCAGCAGCCTTTTGCGGGTTTCCGCCCGGACGCTGTCCTATCGGCGTTGAGAGCGGCCCTGCAAGAGCTCGGGGTGCCGCGGCACGATGCCTATCGCACCCACGATTTTCGTCGGGGCCACGCCCAAGACATGGCGGTGCGTGGCTCGCGGCTGGCCGACATCCTTCGCGCGGAATTGGCGGTCCGCCGCCTTCCTGTCATATTTAGACAGGGATGCGCTTGAGGACAGCGCCGTCAGGGAAGCGCACGGCGGCGCTTCGTCCAGCGACGAAGACAAGGACTGAGGTGGCTGTGAGCCTATAGAACACCTTCGGCGAGAACAGCGCTGGGTTTTCCTCGCGCGCAGGTGCAGCAAGGGCCTTGGGTGTCGCTGCACCCGCGCGCTCCCGCGGGGAGCGGCGAGCGACGAGTGCGCCGCTCGCCCCCCCCGCGGGCGCGTGCCTACCCAACGCGCAGCGCTCCCCGCGCTCTCCCCCAACCCTCGGGTTTTCCAGGGTAGCGTCTTTTGTGGGCGAGAACACAACGCAGTTTTGTTCGTTGTCACAAAAACGCGGACCTGGGAACCTTTTACCCCTGCCGCCCCGCCGCTGGCGCCGCGGTTCGCCGCGGTGCCTGTGGTGGGGCGGGTTGGGTCGGTTGGGGGGTGCGTTTGGGGTGGCTCGCCTCAGGTCTTCATGGACTTCGTGTTCCTCGTCTTGTTCGTGTTCTTTGTCCACGTCTCCCTGCGGTGGGGGGAGGGTAAATATACCCCCGCGTCGCGCGCGCTGCCCCGAGGGCGCTTGTCGGCCGAACGCGAGGCTGGCGCCCTCGGTGCGCGCGTCGCGGGCCGCCGTGGCGGCTTTTGTTTCCCCTCACCCTTCGCCGCTCCTTTGGTTGGGGTGGGCGCGGGGTGTCGCTGCACCCGCGCGCTCCCGCGGGGAGCGGCGAGCGACGAGTGCGCCGCTCGCCCCCCCCGCGGGCGCGTGCCTACCCAACGCGCAGCGCTCCCCGCGCTCTCCCCCAACCCTCGGGTTTTCCAGGGTAGCGTCTTTTGTGAGGACGGCGTCCCTGAAAGTCCCTACCCTTTCCCCAGGACCGGTTTGTCATCCTGAGTCGTCTTGTTGACGCTCCCGAGGCCCGGCGAGGGCCCCCCGAGGAATCGTGTCTGGGTCAGGAGGGGGGATCCATCGATTCCCAACCGCCCATTCATCGCCGATAGGGGCCAGATAGCCCCACCCCGCTCAGGAAACTGCGGATTTGCTTTCGGGGGCCTATCGCCGATCTCTCAGCAATGAAACGCCGATTCCAGCTTATTCCCCTCTACTATTGTTCCTCTAGGCCTCCCAGACGGGGTCGGAGTAAATGGGGTCGCAGGATCGCGCCGCATCGACGATGCGTCTACGATGCGGCTCGATGAGGAGCCAGATTCTCTGCGCAACAACCTCCTCCTGCGCTTCCTCCTCCTCCTTCTCCTCCTCCTCCTCCTCCTCCTCCTCCTCGTCCTCCTCCCTCTCCGCCTCCTCCTCCTCCTCCTGGAAGCGCGGCGCCCGTCGCCAGCGCTCGTCAATCTCGCGGTTCGATGCGCTGCCGTTGTGAGACGTGGAGTCCAAGCGCCGTTTTTATGTCTATGCGGCTTCCCCTCCTTTCCACGGTGGGCTCCTGACAGCGAGGGCGCGCAGGTCGAACCGGCGTGCTCGCCGCGCCCAGCGACGCCTGTCCAAATCGCGAGCGGCCGCCGCCGCCGCCTCCGCCTGCGGGCGCACGGGGGCGCGCTTCCGCGCCGATCGAACCGACCCAAGCACATCCGCTCGCGCGCAAAGTGGCCGAGTCGGTGCGATGCGTTGTTTGCTTCCCTTCGCGTGCGCGGGCGTCGCCGCTGGGTTGCTCCTCGGCGGCGCGGACAATCTGACCGCGGCGCAATTCTTCCCGCGGGGCCAGAGCCCAACGGACGAGGGCTCAAGCGCATCGAGGAAGTTTCCGCATCCGCGTTAACGGTCATTCGAGAAATGGCTAGGCCCGCGCGCAAGGGGTCGGTGGAATTTGTCGCGGATGGTGCCTGAGAGCTTCCGGATGTGCGCAAGTTTCGTCTATGATCGGCTCGAGCGCGCTGGGCGGAGCTTGGGCGGGGTCGTTCGGGAATTTTGAGCGAGCAACCTGCTGGTGCCTGAGAAAGTCATTGGCCCGCGCTTTATGACATGCGGACTGCGACCTTTGATCTCGCGCGCAAGTCTTTGCTGCGATGGCTGGTTGCCGCGATCGCTTCGCCCGCGCGTACTTCGCATCAGGCGCGCAGCGGTCTTCTGCGTCAGCTGAAAGAAGGGGAGGCAATGTACCGAGCAGCGCACGCACTCGCGGCATACGCGGCGGGCCCTAGCAGGCCGCGAGCGCCAGCGCCGGCAGTCGCGACAGGGGGGCGCGCCCTCCGCGCGCAACGGGGTCTCGGCTATGACCGCGGCGCGGACCGGAAGGCCCCACTGCGACAAGGGCGTCGTCGGCAGCGCAGCCCAGCGCGCCAGGAGCTGTGCGAGCCAGACTCAAGCGCGAGGCGCGTGCCAGGCGATGAGAATTATCGTCGCGCCGATCGCGCGACGGAGGTCGCAGCTTTCCCGGCGCCGCGTTTGCGGTTGGAACGGCGCGCCGCGCCTGTCGCGCGACTTTTTTGGAGGGCGGTGCCGTGGCTCAGCTCTTCGGCGTCGATGCGTCGAAGAGGTGCGGCGCTCCGCCCGGCGCGCGAAGTGGCACGGGGCCTCGCTGCGCGCGGCAGCGCTTACACCCTCGTCGAACAAGCGCAGGGCCCCGCTGCTGCAGGGCTGCTCCAGCCAATGGCGCAGCGACCGCGGGCCGCCCGCGCGCCGGGGGCTTGCGCGCGCTCCGAGGCGCTAGCGTCGCAAGGTCTTGGCTTGGGCGGCGGCCTTCTCCAGGCTTTCCAAGGGCCCTGCGTTGCTTCGCCGCGCGACCGGGCGGGGGCGCGCGCCTGGGGGGGCGCCTCGCGCATGGTGCAATCTCTGTGGCCGGCGCCGACGCCGCGAAGGCTGGTCGGGGCCGCGCGCGGCCCGAGTGGTGCGATCGTTCGCGCGAGCGGGCGCTGCGCCGCCAGGCCGCGATCGCCGCCATCATTCACGCGGTCCGCGGCCGCCCGCGAGCCGCTGCGTCGCGGTGGCTCGTGGCCGCTCTTGCTGAATCTTAGGTGCCGCCTCTGGTCCCGCCGCCAATTTGGAACAGCGCGATCGCGCGCTGCGCCGCGCGGCGATCGCGATGGCGCGGCCTGGCGAAGCGCTCGCAGATCAACCGCTGCCGTGCGGCGCCCTTCAGATTACGCGTCGCGCGGCGCGCCGTGGGCTCCGACGACGTGCGTTCGCTATTCAGCGCCGATGGTCACAGGTGCGCGGCCCTTATCCACGGGGGCTTCGTGCCCCCCCTGCCGAGCCTCATGGGCGGTTTCCGAAGTTCCTTTGGGAATCCCAGGGGGTCTTTTGATTGACCCTCGTCTGCGTCGCTATGCCTTGATGCGTTCTCCTCCAACGCCGCGAAGTCTTTGCGTGGTTTCATTTTCGCCGCTTTCCTTTCTTTGGAAAGCGTCGCGTAGCTGCGCGTTGCGATGCATTCCGAGTCTGCGATTTGACTTGCTGTGCTTTGCATTGTTTGGCATGGTCAGTCTATGCATAATTTTGCGGTGCGTGTCTTTGCTTTGCTTCTGGCTGGTCGGTAGCAGTGCAATCCATCGCGTGGCTCTGACTAGCATCGAATTGCAACTTTATGTTCGGTGGCCGTGCCTCACGCGTCGCCGTGCATCATTGCGTTGCTTTGCGTTGTTGCGCGTTGCGGCGAGTGGTTTTTAAATGCTGCGATTTGTTTTGTTGCCCACTGCCGCGCAGCGCGCTTGGCGCGCGTTGCGGCGCGTAGTTTCTCGTGCGCTGCGTCGTGCTGGGTTGCCTTGCGTTGCTAGGTTCGCAGTGCTCCTCCGAAAAACATGGGCTAGCTCTCTGCTTCGCTCGAGCGTGTTGCGCGTCGCGCGGGGCTCGATTCCCCCGCTGGGGGTGGCTTCCGCGGGGGCGGGGTACCCGCTCGCAGGCCACAATTGTTTCGGTGCCGTCCTGTACCCGGCGCGGCGGCCCGCGGGTCGCGATCGCCCGCGACGCGGCCTCTCCGGCGCGTTCCTGCCCAGATCACCATGGCCGACTTCGTGCTTGCAGACGTCACGGCGACCCGACGACGCGCGTCGCGGCGCTGGGCCAGCCCGCGCCGGCGCGCCCGGGGGCCGAAGGATTCCGCCCTGGACGGCATCATTGCTGGCTTCCCCGCCGCTTACGCGGAAAAGGTGGGGAAGACGGGCGACGCGATGTCACACTCCGTCGAAGCGCTTCTGGTTCGGCCCCGACCCGGGTCGCGCCGTCGGCCGAGGTATAGAGCGCGGGGCAGCGCATCTCGCCTCCGACGTCGCTGCGGGGCGCCCTAGATCGGCCGCTGTTGCTCGGGCGACGCAGGTGCTTCTCGGCGTTCATGAGCATGCAGTGTTCTTCTATATTTCCCCGATGCACAGTGCCGCAGTCGGGCGAAGAGCCCATCGCCGCGGGCGGCCGGGCACCAATGTGCCTCCACCTCTGCATCCTGCCGCTGATTCACGTGCCCTGGGTTTTGGATCAGCGACGTCGCTGGCCCGTGCTCGATGGTGTCTGTGCCGCCCGTGTGTGCGCAAGCGTTTTATTGGAACACGGCCTGGCCCGTCGATGGACGTGCCGCGCGCGGCGAAGCGGCGTCGCCGTGGAAGCATCGATTGCCTCCGCAGTATTCAAGTTTCGACGAGGCGAACCCGTTCCCGAGCGATTGCCCTGTTCCCGACCATGGGCCAGGAGGCATGGACTCCGCGGAGGACCCAGCGTCGTACGACGACGCCCCGACCCCTGGGGTCCCGATCTTGGGGAGCGATGAGCCCGCCGACGAGAGCCCGCTCCGTTAGGCCACGCCGGGCCGGGTTGTCTGCGATTCACCGGCCAGCGCCGGCACCGCGCAGAATTCGCGGAGCTCGCTGAGCGTTCGGTCAATGGCAGCGCCGCGCTGCGACGTCGCGCCACCTTCATGTTCCCGCGATCGGTCTGCGAGTGTCCTGCGCGACTTGTATGCGCTGCGCGGCGACGAGCTGGCAATCGCGAGTTGAAGACGCTGCTTTCGAGTGGCGTTCGTGCTCGGGAAGGCAGCGTTGCTGCGATTGGCGAGGGCTCGCTGCGAGCTGCGCGCGCGCGATCGCCTGCGGGGCGCGGGGTCGCGGTCGTTCGATTTTGCTAGGGCGGGAGCCTGGCTCCAGGGCGCCTCGGCCCAATCGAGATCGCGTCGGAAGAAAAGGCGAATGCCAACAGCAGTTCCTGCCGATGCTGAAAACATCAATGTCCGCGTCGCCGCGGTCGCCGTCGACCTCGCGCGCTCGCGCGGCTGTCAGCGCTTCCAGCTGGCACTTCCTGCGTTCCTGGTTGCGCGCAACGGGCCGCAGTGCTCCTCAAAGACGAGGTCCTCGGCCATGATCGCGACGGCCTCTGGCGACGACGCCGCCGCGCCGGCGGCCGCCGCCGTGGCCGCGCAGGCAGCGCCGCGCGCGAAGGAAGTGGCGCCTGCGCCGACGATGAACGTCACTGGTCATACTTCGTTGCAGACCTGCGCGATGGCTTCGAGGGGCCCCGTGTCCGTTGCCTTCGTCGCAGCGATGCCGCCCTGTGCCTCGGATGACTTCGGGGGCGACATATAGTCGGCGACGGCGAGCCCTGCGGTCGTTACCCGGCCGCCGCGAGATGCGTCTTCACCTGCGCGAGCACAACGCTCAGCCAGTGCGCTGCATGAGCGACCGCAGTTGGCGCAGCTGCAGCTGCAGTTGCAGCCGCGTCGGCTGCAGCATCATCAGTTCAATTGGAGGTTGAAGCAGAAGCGCAAGGGTGTCAGCAGGAGCACCCACAGCAGGTAGTTGCAATAACGTCCAGGTTGGCAATGGCGACGGCGCCGGCAGCGCGAACGTCTGCATGGGGGAGGGGGCGGGGGGGGGCTGCAGCCGAGCAGGAAAAACGTGTTCCACCGCTTCCCAGCTGACCAGGCCTCGCTGCGCCACGGGGCGCGGAGGGCGAGGGCGATGCGCGCGTATGTTCCATGGTTGGTTTCCTCCATTGCCGCAGTCCGATGCTAGCGCGCCTTCTCACGTGGTTCCAACAGGGACCCCAGGGAAAGGAACTTTTGAGACTGGCGATGCCGATTTCTCACGTCTGCTCGGCTTCACTCACAGGGTCGCCGCATGACGCTGTCACTCGCACTTCTCGAAGTCAGTATGAGATGCAACGCCGCGGTCTCAGCAGTCCCTTTCATTGGCGTCCCTGTAGGAAACGCATCGTCCTCCTGGTCTCACATCGCTGCGCGCTGCGTCGAGCGCTGCATTATGCGCGGCTGCTCGCAAACGCGCGAAGTGGCGACCGTGCGCGCGCGGTGCCAAGCCGCGAAATTTCACGCGTGATCCGTGGATGTTGGATTTGTCGTCTGGTTTTTGCGCGTGGGCCCAGAATATCGCAGTGTTCTCTGTGGGCCCCAATTTAGCAAGTGCTAAGGGGCCCATTGCGCGCGGCGCAGTCTGGGCGCATCGCGACGCATCCTGGACAGGGGCACGCCGCCCAGGACGCAGCGCCCAGTGTCGAGCTTGTACCCCGTGGTCTGCAGCGATGGGGAAGCGAATCTTCTCCGCTCGCCGAGGCGGTGCATTGTTGCCGAGGCGCATGCAACTCCAGCATAGAGTGCAGTGCGACAGCGCAACCTGCTTTTTTTTCTGGGCCGCGCTCTTAGTAAATCTCTTGAGGCGCAGGGCGAAGTGCATTGACGGTGGCTCAGGGAAACCAGGATCCCGCTCCCAGTCGATTCCCGCCCCCTCGAGTTCGCCCACCCGCAAGAAGCGCGCAGACATACGCAGGCGCGCGCGCGTTGGACGCATGCAGCAACCTGTGGGGCAAGTGCCTGATGCGACGCGCAAGCGTTTGACAAGCGAGGCAGGGCGGCCGCTGGCATTTAAGGCGAAGCTCAACGATTACGCCGCGGGTCCGACTCCGAATGGGCGAAGCGTCCTGCGCACGCAGAAACTTGCACACGCCATCAGCCCGCGCGGCCCGGGGCGGAATTGCGGCAGGTTCTTTTGCCTTTAGGCCTGCGCTTTCCGAGGGGGGGGGGGGGCTGCAGCCATGGCTCTCTGCGCGTTGTGTGCCGTCGCTGCGCTCGTGCAGCTCCATGGCGCCGCCGCTGCGGCTGCCGAGCAGGGCGTGGGCGGTCGCCCCGCGACGGCGCTCGCGGGCTGCCCCGAAGTGGATTGCGCGAGCGCCCGAACTGGCCTGGCCGAGGCCGTGCGCGTGCAATATGATTTCGCCGCGCGGGTCAGACCAACGCGACGCGTTGCCGCGCGCGCGCGGCCTTCGCTTGCGTGGCAGGATACGAGCGGCAGCGGGCCAGACGTCCGCGCCTTCCAAGGAGCGCAGGGCACGCCCAGATTTGCTTTTCGCCCCGCGCTTCGCGTCGTTAGCGTGAGCGAACAGCCGAGGCACGAATGCTGTCTCGCGGGCACAGCAGCGAGGATGCGATGCGCGTGCGTCCGCGCGCCCCGCAGCGAGCGCGTGAGGTTGCGAGGGGCGCTTCGCCGCGAGGCGACGACACGCGAAACGCGAGAAAGATGGAGCCGCGGTTTTGTCGGATGCGCCGCGGCTAGGTCGCCGCGGAGGGAGCGCACGCGAGCGTTCACCGCGGCACCGGCCAGCATTGCCGCGCACAGGAACAGTCATGCGTGGCGGCTAGGCCGCCGCGGAGGGAGCGCGCGCGACCCGTCCGCGGCGCCGACCAGCCTTGCCGCTCGCAGGTTCCATAATTGTTTGCGGCAGGCGGGGCGCCCATCTTCCTGTGGGCGCGTTTCGCCTGCCGTTTCGGGCCCTGGCCCCGCGGCGTTTCGCTCTGGCCCCGTGTCCCTGGCCCTTTCTCTCTCGCCCTTCTGTCCTTCGGTGTCCTCCCGCCCCCTCTCGCGCCTGGCCCTTTCCCCTCTGCTTCGCTCCGCTCTCGCCCCGGCCCGCCTCTTGCCTCTCGCCCCGCGGCCCGCCGCCGGCCCTGTTCTCGGCCCCTCGGCCTCCCGTTCTGTCCCGCCGTCGGTCCCTTCGCTCGGTCTCTCGGTCCTGCCGTCCTCCCGCGCGCCGGTCTCCGCGCCGTCCGCCCCGCCGCGCGTCGGCGGGTCGCTCGCCCTCCGCTTCGCCCGCCGCGCGCGCAGGTTCCTCCTCCTTCTCCCGCGCGCGCGCAGGACAACCGCGGCCCCGCCGAGGCGGGCGGGCCGCGTTGGCTCAGCGCGCGCAAGACCAATCGCGGCCCCGCCGAGGCGGGCGGGCCGCGCTCTCGCGCGCGTGCAGATTGATTTCGACCCGCCGAGGTGGGCGGGCCGCGCGATGCGCCCAGGCCGAAGGGCGCCCCGTTCTGGCCCCGTCGCCGCGTCGTCGTGTCGTCGTTGGCGCGTCGCGCCGCCGCCGCCGCCGCTGCTGCCGCTGCGCCGTCGCGTCCGTGTCGCGTCGGCTCGTCGTGCTCTGTCGCGTCGTCGTCGGGGCGTCGTGCTGCCGCTCGCCGCTGCCGCCGGTGTGTCGCTGCGGCCGTCGCCGTCGTGCCCGCCGCCGCCGCTGCGGTGGCCGCCGCCGCCGCCGCCGCTTCGTGTCCCGCTTCCGCTTTGGCCCCGGCGGGGCCTGCCCCGGCTCCGGCGGGGCCCGCTCCGGCCCTGGTGGCGTCCCGGTCCCTCCCTGGGCGCGGTGCTCCGCTCCTTCGTCGCCTCTGCTGGACGCGGCTCGTTTCGCGGCGGGTGCGCTGGGTCCCGGGCCGGCGCCCCGTCCGCTCCTCGTCGTTTTGCTTGGCTCGAAAGTTCTTTTCTGCCCATGGTCGGGCATCTGCGCAAGTGTGCGCACGGGGCTCGTGGACTCGCGGCAGGAGATCTGGGTTGTTGTGACACCCAGACTACCTGCTGCAAGTCCGCGAGTACCCACCCCGGCGCCTCGCGCCCGCACTGGCGGGCAGGCGGACCGCCGGGGACATCCGTACCTGCGTTCGGCTCGTGTCGGTCGGCCCGGATCGGCCCCGGTGCCAGGCCGGCCCGTCCGGACTCCTGCAGAGACGGCGACTCGCGTTGCCCGTGCAGTCCCGGTCGAGCGCGCCAGACGCAGCGCGCGCGCGACCAGGTCGATGTTAAAGTCGCGGCGCCAGCGAGCCCGTTTCCCGCAGTGGCAGATCTCGTGGAGGTTGGGCTCGCAGCGCGCCCCAGCAGCGGCCGCGGCGGTGCGCGGTAGGACATGGAAAAGGATTTAGACGGCTTGCGCCAACCAGGCAAGGGAGATGTGGAGTGTGATCGGGCCCATCGGGGATCACGCTGACTCCACTAGCGTCGGCCCACTGAGGCCAGGACACGGCACGACCAGGCAAGGTGGCGATGCCCGGATCATCATCTCCGGGGGGCGCTCGGCCCACTGGGGCCCCGCCCGCACCGGCACGTTCGATTGAACGTGACCGGTGGGTCCACTGGGACCCCTTCAGGGAGCAGCGTGCACGCCCATGTTGGCTTTGCCCGTACCGGCGCGCTCACTGGACGCGACCGG